TTCAGAAATAACAATTGTTTTAGGAAGTACATATCCCTTGTTGCAGCACTGAAAATAGAAAGAAAAGAAAAAGTAAAAAAAAGGAACTGGAACCATATGAACAGAACTCTGTTGAAAAACGGATACCAGTAACTAAACCAATCACGTGACTGTCCTTGTAGAAAGAGGAAAAAAAAAATCCCTGCAGTATTTAGATCATCTTCAAATTTTCATAATTTCCTAAGGCTATGCTTGTAGCAGAGCTGACTTACACTGCTGGGTAAGCCTGCACAGTTTTGGAAGAATGCTAACCTTTTTAAAAGAGAAAAAACCAAAATACGATAGCTTTGTGTGGAGTCAACATTAAACTAGACGCAATAATAGCATCTCTCACTGCTTCCTTGGAGAGAGACAAAGCAATCTTTTACAAAGCTGAACCACACACTAGGAAACTGATATGACTGGTTTCTCTCTGTTACACATTTACTTTAGTTTTGTTTTGTTTCAAATAACTGTGAAAGACAAGTGAATGTTTATTCATATTTTTTCCCTTTTAAAACAAATTCTCCTGAGGCATTGAACAGCACAAAAAAGAAGGTTCAGAATGATTCATAAGTGCTGAACAGCATTCCCCAAAGGGTGACCAAGGACATTCCATTGTTTTATATCCATCTTCTGCTTTTCAGTCATTATTCACTGTTCTCCCTTTCATCTGTAACGTAGAAGTTACAAGACAGTCTGATAGACTGAGACAGACTACACACTAACACTACTTCATGTACAAGCCGTCCATATTGCACTTCCTATGACCTTAACCAGGCTCAAAATCGGCCAGTAGGTTGGTCAAACTCACACATCCACATAGTCCTTCCTTGACTGCCCCTCAGCACTGAGTAGTGATTAAAGAACTAAGTGAGGTTATCAAATTTTTCCCTTTGAGGCAGAAAAGATGAATCCTTTCCTATATTTAGGTGGGGAAAAAAACCCAGAAACCAAAAGAGGTATTGCACAGAAGCAGTCCTTTACCTGCTGTTCTAACTTCTTGCCACTGGGAAGATACACATCACAACACAATAGGTACTGTTTTTACCTCCAAAGGAGTATGTCTCTTGCTTGCAAAAACATTCTTTTGTTTTGCATTCCAGATTAAATATTAGCGTCTAAAGACCATTCAAAATGTCAGAAGCAGAAGTTATTAAAAGCAAGTACTATGATTTTGAGATTAAAAAATATTTACATCCTCATTAAATTAAAGTTATGCCAATATCATGAATTTAATATGTAAAACTGTTAACTCACACATTTAGAGATAATACTATGCCAAACAGAAAATTACATCTCAACCCTAACATCTGCATTAGGGAATAATTTCATGTGATTGAATTCATTTCTGTCACTTGCCTCATTCCACGAGACAGCAAAGCGTAAACCAACACTAAAACACCACACAGTGCTAGAAAGAGAATTTTCTGCTACTTTTACTTCAAAACTACTACTCAGCTACCATTGGGTCATGCCAATACCATATCCAGTATTGTGTAAAGTAACCGCATAAATCATCTTCCACATTAACTTTTAAATGTAATATATCAAGTTAATAATTTTTGATTAAAACCTTGTATGCAAAAACGCAACAACATAAAATTGTTATCATGAAACAGCACTTCATTTTTATTATTGTTTACCAGCCTTCTGTACAGTGACAGCCATTACATAGATACTATGTATCAGTAATATGGCTGAAAAATTACCCTCTTTGCCTACAGCTTTCTGATCAAGTTGGATAGCTTTCAAAAAAAAAAATTACTCTTAAGTCTTCACATAAGATCCCTAAACAAATACCTCAGAGGCCTTATTTCTTTGGAATGAGTTTTCAAATGGCAAAGTCTCTGCATATTATCTTCAGTGTTGTTTTGGTACAAGTAAGGGTCACAAAGTCTTTCTGAAAAGGGCCATATGGCCTTCAAGGGCTGACCAATATTTCGGTTTTTTAATAAAACAGCTTATAGAAACAGCAGCTGTATTTGTTCTAACCTAATTTAATACCATATTTAATATCATATGGGATAAGCAATGAACCCAATGAACTGCTTTTCAAGGGTGGAAGATGAAAGCTTCTATACTCAGTCAAGCTTAAAAGCAATCTACTCTGAATACTGTACTTTCATATATTTCGTGGAACTTTCCTAACTGCTTTCAGTTCACTTTACCCTACCCCGTCACTGCAGAAACAGAAATAAACATTACAAATTCTCATCACAGCAACAAAATAAATCTGTGCTAACTACACCACTGGTAGTTATACAGAGTTTTTACAGAAGTGGACCTTGGACAGTCTGCTTGATCACAGGAACCAGACAATATGGTAACTTATGGTAATCATCAGAGGTATGGAAAACAAAGTACTAAATGGATATAAGGTTACTTTGCTGGATCAAAGTTGTTGAGAATATTTTTGAATAGGCAATACTGATAGCCATAAATTCTGGTGGAACAGCCATTATGCCCCTGCATTCTTTCACAACTGGACTGCTCTCAACTAACCCCTCACTCTTCCCATTTGTACCTTTCTCACCATAAATTCTTCAGGGTCATGTATCCAACTGTTGCTGCCTCATTTACAACTGGAGGATGGTCCACATCCTGCTTTCAATTAACTACTCACTAAATTCTTACTTTTAATTTTCTATTAATTGTATTGACTACCATCTCTTAAATATAAAAAGCTGTGAGAGACCTACAGGCCTCTCTTTCCTTATTGTTGGTCACTTCAAATGACTCACACATATAACAGCTTATGACCCACACTGAACAACAGCATAGTTCCACTGATCCCCATTCACACCAATGGATAGTATTATGCTGTCCAAACCTTATTTACCGGTAAGATTCTGTAACCACAAAAATGTTTTCAAAAATGGAGAAATTTTAATAAAATCATGTGAAGTCTCCATACCCTAGATTACCTCTCAAAATTATGAAATGCTAAAGCAGATCAATAGTTCGTCTCACCAAAATGATCACTCAACCAGGAAATATAATTGAGTCTATGAAGGATGAGTCAATTACAGTACAAGTACACTTCCACAAACATGCATGGATTCACTGCCTTGCCAACTGCTACAAACAAACAAACCTTTATGTTAACACAAAAAAAGGAAGGCAAATATGTTATTTGAATCCTAAATTAAGCATTTGCTAAATAAGTTTGATAATCTGATATCAAATCCATACATATGCAACAGTTATTTATACACAGGAACTGATTTTGTCCGAAGGTTTTAAAAATTCGCATATGGCAGTGCTAAATATGAAATTTAACTTAAAGATTTTAATAACCTTCAAATACTTTGTTTCTCTGCTAACAAGCTTACTGAAGGTAGATGTTTTCTTTTAACACAGTTCTTCTTTACTCCTTATTCTATTTTCTTGTCAATAGCAATTGCAATGCTACTTGCAATGCAATGCCACTTGCAAACTGCCTAAAACAAAGAGGATTGATTTGATCTGCATTATTGGACAGCTTATGCAATTTGGGGCTACATAACAAAAAACAGTAAAGTGTGATTTGCCAGGCTACTTCGTTCTATGCTTCCAAAGAAACATTATGAAATTTCACATCAAACGTCATGAGATCAAGTGTAAGCGTGCAATGCCTTTGTGTAATGCATAGGGAACAGGTTGAAAAGAGTTGTACCTCAGTTTTTCACAGGTAAATATTAGAGTTTTCTCAGGAAAAAAAAATAAACATGTCTCATCCTATTTTGAAAACTGTTTTCCTTTCGATCTGTCATAGGTGCATACTTTAAATATATATATTTCAAATCAGCATGAACTCTTGAGAATTTTGATGAAATTCTCAATTTCATGCCAGAATGAATAAACTGGGTAAAATCCCATCTAGACAACTACTAAAAGGCACATAATACTCTTTCCAATAAACTTCAGGATCTGACTTCCATGAGTATAAATGGAAGAAAGCACACAAGCCACTCTGAACTCTTAAAAAAAATTGGTATTAGATATTACTGTGACATATTTTATCATTCAGTAGTGTTGGTCTGCTGGGGATTTCTACCTTAAGTAATGTCAAGGTACTTAAATCAGTATTATATAAGCTGTCCAGAGCTAACAGAGCTCCATCAGCATGGTGTTCTGAGAATAATAGTAGCCAATATAACGTTCTGCCATGGCTAAGCATGTCTACGGCTCTTTGGGGGAAAATCAACACACGAGAGTTTACTTTCAGCAGTTGAAACTAGGCTGTATAAGAGTCCCTAAATGCCCAAATCCATCTTCACTGCAATAAATAGCTCTGGTTACTCCATTCTTGTAAAAGAATTTGGGCTAACTGAGTGGGAGGAAAGAGCAACCATACTATGACATGCAACAAAAAATTAGACTGTCAGCACAGAGTGATTCAATTACCAGTAGCTTTGTCAGCAGCAGTTGATTTAATTTGAATTTCAGCATTCCTGCAGCATCACTAATTAATCCACAAAACTGAAATTTCAAAGAAGTTACAAGGACTGCCCAACTAATTCTATGCTTACAGCATTGTTTAACTCAAATTAGAGATTTCTGCGTGGAAACAGGAGCAAGAGTGCAGTGACGGTCAGCTTTAAAAGACAAGCATTCGCAACAGTTCATGTAAAAGGAAAATAGTTTCATCTCTTACCTATGAGACCTTTCTCAAGAGTAAAGGATTTGTTCGTGAACATACATTCAAAGGCGACAATATGGAAAACTTTGTTCACTGTGTTGTGGGTCCCAACAATTCGAATATACCTACAGGGGAAAAAAAAAAAAGGTAAATAGCACAAGTTAAACATGACAAACTGCTGTGCACTAAAATGTAACTGATTCAGTTGGACTAAAATGTGCAGATCTATAGGAACTGAGTAACCTTTTAAAAAAAGAAAAGGAGGAAAAAGACTATAAATTTCACAGCAAGTTTGCATCTAATTGAGATGCTGGTTACACTACAATTTAAGAAAAAAAATCTTTAAAGAGATGTGAAATCTGTTAAAAGTCTTTCTGGATTAATTTGCCAAGAAAAGTAAAGTGAGGGACCTTCCACTTCAGAAATGGTCTGTTAGTGCATAAGTGTGCTCACGGAGGCTTTAAATAATAATAACAAAAATAATAATCCTTTCACCAACAAATTTTCAGCACTGTGAAAGATTTCATACAGCCAGGACAAACCCAGCAAATCAGTCAGGCTTTTCCTCAGCAGCCAAAAATTAATTCCATTTTATTATGACTGTTTCTAATTCTAACACTGGGCGTACAGGATATCAATCTCTTTGTTGGTGTATCTTTTATTAATAATAAAAAAAAAATCTCTGAACATTCAAACATTATGAAACAAAACTAACTCTGGGTTTCACTCCTGGTTGTATAACTTACAATTCTACACTCTAATTGCAAATCGAATAGAGCTGCTCTTGAACACTGTGACCTACTCACCTGCTGTATTACCCTGAAGGCTTCACCTTCCATGAGCAACCATTAACCTCTATTCGGTCCGATTCTGCATTTTCTGAAGAGACTCAACAGTTCTTACTATACTTTTTGAAAAATCTTAAAAGGAATATTGTATACCATCTCAATAAATGCTGGACAAGCAACACAGAAAACTACCTGAACCAAATACCACTACCCCACAAAATGGGTTACCCACACCGCAGAAAACTTTGTATGGAATTAACTCATTTCAATGAGTATCAGAATGTACGAATCTTAACCAATGTCCTCAGTCTGTGGAATAAAACAATCTTTCACTTACATAGTATAATTATATTTCCAACATCATGGCCGTTCCCCAACAGCATCGTTTTTGCTTGTGTTTCTCAACAGATCAATTTGAATCTGTATCAAGACATTTTTCAGTCCTGTTTTTTTTTAAACAATAAAGCAACCCTCATAGCTATTTAGTGTACTAATGTTCAACCTCCAAATTTCATTTAGAAATTTTAATTATCATGACTTGTAACAAAAAAGAATTATATGCTATTCCTTAATTAATATTAACTCGCGGATCAATTAATTATCACAGTAGCAAATATCCCGAAAATTATTCTGTGTAGAAAACATAAAGTAGCAAAATTGAAGAAAATATTTATTATTCATAAAGAAGTTGAACCTACGTCTTAAGAGTAAAGCAGAACTTAGCCCTTACTACATAACTGTGCCAAGTGCCTGCAAAGACCATCACAGGAATCTTGGTTGACAGTCAGGGAAACAGCAGTTCTTTCCCCAGATCTGCCCATGTGAACCAGATTACTTTCTTTTGTCAATTCACAAGCACAGGTAACCCTAATGAACCCTAAACACACAGGTAATGTCCAGGATTTGACAAGGGTAACTGTTCTTGTTCTCTCCAGCCTCAGAAGCTCAAAATTCAATACAGGAAAAATCTTGGAATATTTTTAAGTGTACATGGAGGCTGGCTTGCCACAGAGACTCCCTCGTCTCTCTCAGGCAAGAAGGGTATTGATTGAATTGTGCTGCTTGGACAAAACACACTCCTGGCTAACCAACAGAGCATTACTAATGGAGAGATCCTTTGACATCCTTCAGTTATGCTTCCTTGCTTTAAAGAGTTTAGAGAATAAACAAAGTAACAATATTAATAGGAACACAAGAAATTGCTTCATAATTAGCTTTAAAACTGATTTATTTGGATTTTTCGTGTTATGAAATTGTAACACGAGTAAACTTCTTGATTGTTTTTTTTGGTGAGACTAGAAATTGTTCAAATTTCTGTCAGCAGCAAAGCAGGTTTATAAAACACAAAGTTATCTATGAATCTTTGTGTGATTGCAGAGTAAAAGAATCACAATCCAATGGCTGGACTAGCTCCACTGTTAATGGACTTTAGACTCAACTGCTAAGACTGAGGGGAAGACAGAAAAAAACTCTGAATCATTCTTTAAAGAGAAAACCTTGATCAGTTCGTGGTGTTTAAAAGTACTTCCCTGGCAGGTGAACAGGAACGCAGCGTGATAATTTTGCCCCTTTATTTTATTTTCTGGCCCTGCTTGAGAATAATGGATACTGAAAGTATAAATGCTATAAGAGTTTCAGCCACATGTCACAGATTTCTCTGGCCACAGGTAGTCATGCTACACATGGCCCTAAAACTGCCAGAATGGGACTACTAAAATAATCTGGTTGGGTTTGGGTTTTTTTCCGCACTTACAAGAAAATTGTTTTAACTAGAGGAAAAACAATATGTTCTACTGGAGCTTGGTAGAATTTTAAACATCTAAAATTTGAATGGACTCCCTGGGTTGATTAATTAGGCACCTACACGGCAACGGCCCTCATCTATCCCCCATTTTTCCCAGAGCAATTCTTCACATTTACACGAAACTATGACATGGGTACTCTGTTGTGGCCACAAGTACTCACGTTTCTGAACAACTAAATTATGTTTTACTTCTGCTCTTTACATTTGTACAGTTGACACATTTAATTCAGCTAACAGCTGCTGCAGAGCATACCACTGATTCAGCTGTGGATACCCTGGAGGACTACTAATACCAAAGCTCATCTGCCTACATCAGAACAGTGCTTAGGACATATGTGTCAAAATATAAAAATATGTATACTCTAGAGGTCATTTTAATCCTCCATTATAATAACACCAGTAAGATACAGACAAACACTAAAATATATTAAGCACAGATTCCAATCTGTTGAGAATATTGAGACAGAAGACTAAATAAGGAGAGATAATGGAAACTAACCTGTATTTTGCACTGATACCCATTCTAAGTTACTATAAAAGCAAGCTAGAACAGCAACAGCAAACTCAAAGAACTAAATCAAATACGTACAAAATGCGCTCTTATGAACTTGGCATTCCATTTTCCTTCATGGAGCATTTGGTATGAGACACCAGCGCTAGTCCTACATACTTTATATCTCCCCTAACTGCTTAAAAACCACTAACATTCACGTTCCAATCACTGCCACAAAGATGCATGAGGTACAGCCTAACACACAAGGGCATTTGAAGATATTCTGTTTGTCTTTTAATGGAAAAGGAAACAGTGTTATTCAACACCATCTAAACTCCATTTATTGACAACTCCCTAAAACGTATAATCCTTCAGACTCACACAGCTGAATCAACAGTCCCATGGCAGGAGGACAGAAAAAACAAGGAGGAAAAAATCTATTGCCAGCATTAAATCATGTGGAAAAACAGTGAACATAAATAAATATATAAAATAAGGAATTAAGCCAGAACAAACTTGAAAAGCATATCTGTCTTTTGACAAAAGACAAGTTTTCCTGCTCTTAGACAGGAAAGTCTAGTAAAGTCTATAGCAGAACAAAGGAAATCCCTGTTGCAAATATTGAAAACAAGAGCGACAAATCAAACAAAAAACTTACACAAGACAAAATCATTGAACTCTAGTAGCAAAAGTACATGTAACACCTGCAAAGCCTGTACAGTAACAAACATTTTCACCTTTGCAATTGATGCAAATACAACCAACATGATAGCAGTCTGAAAACACATTTCTCTTTGTAATGTGCTAAAACATGCTTCCAGATATTTCACGGTGGAGCATTCAAGTGGCTAAAAATATTGGTATGCAATACTTAGACAGGACATGTAATTGCTTGTGTACTGTACATAAGCAGTATATCAACCAAGCAACCAATGTTTCTCAACATATTTAACCAAATTAACACTGATGTGCTTTGGAACATAAGTGAGACTTGCACAGTCTGATATTTTGTATTCCACAGGTAAGAATAAGGAGTTTACAAATGTTTTGTTTCTCATTACTGGTTTCCAATTTTTATTTTTTTACAACAAAAAACCCAAAGTCAGATAAACTTGCATGAATCTCCATCTTCACATTGTACACATCTCTAGTTCCACTAAAGTTCTCAAATCTGAACTTGGCTTGCCTGGTTTTGTTTCAGGTCAGACCTCAACCCAAAACAGCTCTATTTCCTAGAACTCACCTACATATGGGCAGAAATCTGCAATTACACCTGATCTCATAATGGACAGGAATAAAAAACAAGGTAGAAGAAGATAGTAAGACTTTGATGTAAAGAATTCTGTATTTAAACCCTATACTTGATTCGACTTTGCAGCCAAACACAAATATCACCTTCATTTATCTTTATGCTATCTTTGTTGAATACATAAAATGGGACTCTAATAAATCCAATTTTACAGAAAAAAAAGTAGCTCTTAAAAACAGAGAAGAAAGCATTGTTACTCGGAAGGTCTGGTTCTAGACCAAACTGGTCACAGGATTCAGAGAGCAGACACGAGCTGGCTCTGCATACCTTCCAGGCTGGTGTGACATGGAGACAGATTCTTTCCAAAATACAGATAATCTTCAACAGGATTTGTTTTCTTTGAATCATCCTGTGTTCTGATGTAGTTTCATGACTTTGGGTCAATTTAGCTTAGGTTTCATTATATAGATACATTATAGCCTCCACATTTTTAAACATATTGAAGAAACAGAAGAAAATACAGGATAGTCCTGCTCAATGAAATCTGAGAATGTTTTCCATTTTCCCCAGTTTCTCACATTCAACCAGTCTGTGATTTTAGCATGCAGTAATTACTTCTTGCTCCAAAGATAATACAGTAAGTGGTGTCTAGATCTAGCCTGGAATCAGACTATATACAATATGACAAAGAAATACTTTAAAAGTATTAGAACAATACATCCAATGATATACGGAAGAAACCCTACCATTTGTTACATTAAAATTATACCAGAAAAGTACTAAGCAATACT